TGGTCCTCTGGTCACTATGGTGAGTCTCACGTCCCATTCTTTATCAGAATGGTACTGTTGACTGCATTTAACCTGTGCCTGTTCTTCCATCAAATGCTGGGTGGTAGAGTACAGCTAATGCATCTCCTCCATTTGTAGGTCTTCAGATCAAGAGAAATCACAAGGTCAAACCAAGACCTGAACCTGAAGAACTTACCTGCCCCTGTACCTGATTTAGATACCAGATTTAGATTCTGGACCTTGAACCTGGGCCCAGTGCCGTAATAGGATAAGACTTGGGGGGGGGGGTTTGCAAGGTGGGGGAGTGTATTTTGCATGTGGGAAGAATGAATGTAAATACTTTTTGGTCTGAGAGTAAACTGTGGTGGTTTTTAAAAATGGCCACAGGCTTTCTGACAAAACTCACACTGAGAGGTGGATTCCATCATTCCCTTTGAATCTAGGATGGTTCATGACTGCTTTGACCAACAGAATATGGTGGGAGTGATGCTGGGTGGCTCCCAAGATTGAGTCATAAGTCTGTGTGGCTTCTTGGGACACTTGCTCTCTTGCAGGACACTCTCCAGAACCTGGCCACCATCCTGGGAGGAGCCCACACCACATGAAGAGACCATGATTAGATTCTCAGGTTTAGAGTCCAGGCTGAGCCCCATCTTTGAGTCTTCCCACCCAGGTGCCAGTCATGCCTGTGATAAAGCCTCCAGATAATTCCAACCCTCAACCATGTAGTCACCTCGAACTATGACCGTCTACCTGGCTGAGACCTCAGTCTGCTCACAGTGGAGCAGAGATGAGCCACCAGGCGCCAGCTTAATTCCTGGCTCATGGAATCCATGAACACAATAAAATGGTAGTTGTTTTACATCACTGAATTTGGGGTGGTTTTCTTATAGCAACAGAACACCCTCCTGCAGGGAGATGTAGCCTCTATATACGGAGATAGGAGGAATTGTTGGGAGCCGTCTTACTAATAATCACCCACAGAGCTCTTTGGGTCTTAGGCTAGTTTAAGACAGACGCAGTTTACTGTGGGGGTTCAAGAGAGGCTTGCAGAATTCAGAGGCAGGAAGTAGAGTCAAGGTGCTTGAGGGCTAGAGCTGAAAATGGGGGCCTGCAGGAATTAGGGCTGTGCTGACCTGCTCTCTCTGGCACTGTACAGGTCCTCCTTCTCCAAGTGCCCTCCTTGTGGGAGCCTCTAATGGGTCCTGGCCCCACAGTCCTCTAGGACCCTCAGTCCAGCTGGGCACACTGGCCGCTCCCATCAGAATTCCCAGCCCATGGAGGATTAGCTTGGGAACCAGGCCTAGCTGCCTTTGGCTCCCAAAGGCAAGGCCAGGCAAGGGGGGGTTCCTCTGGCGGGGCAGGCATTCTATAGAAGCGCTCCCTATATCAGTCATCTGGATGGGCGGGGATATTTTTGATCAGGAAGAAATAAAAATAGGCATTGTTGGTTGGTAATCACTTTTTTGGGTTTTTCCTGCATGTCTTAGATAACTAAACCTTTTGTCCAATCTTTATTCCTTCCTCCCTTCCTTCCTTCTTTCCTTCTTCCCTTTCTTCCTTTCTTCTCCCCTCTCTCTCTTTCTTTGTTCTCAAGTTGCTCCCAGGGAGAAGGGGAGTAGAGGATGAGTTTCTGACACTTTCACTGGACTTCACTGGTCCTTGGTCAACAAAGCACTGGTCACCATACTGGGAGGAGCCCACACCCAGCATCTGGAAGCACACAGCACCACTGGGAGACCCACAGTCAGTCACACAGGCACACATGAACACACACATTCACAGGTGCACACAGATGGTCACACACAGAGGTACACTTTCATACTTAGACACACACACACACACACACACACACACACACCTGCCATCCAGGCAGTTGCTTCTGATGAACACTGGTTCTGCCCTTGGCAGGAGTATTAATCATTTATAGCCATGTAACAAATTTAACTCCAAACTCAGCGACTTAAAACAATTAAGTTATTATTTCACACAGTTTCTGCGAATCAGAAATTTGAGAGTGAATAATCCTGTGAGATCTTGGCTTTAGGCTTTTCTAAGGGAGGTCTATTTTGGTTTTGCCCTTCGTCCTAGGACATAGCCCTTAACATTGGGCTATATCTTAACCCCTAAGACCTGCACCCTCTGGGATTCCAATGGAAATCTCCAGGTATTTAATAAATTCCTTGGTGAGAATTAAATACCAGACTCTATTGAACTCTTCACTCAGCTTTTTAGCCTTCCAAATGATGCTTAGAGGAAAGCATCCTGGGAATTGTATGCAATTAAGGAGTCACTCAAGAATTTAAGGGGAATCTTTATGCAGATTTTGAGGTTTATCCCTATTTGGCTATCCCCAAATTTCTGGATTTTTTTTCTCTCAATTTAGAACTATTCTCCAAGCCCTGAAGCTCTGGCCTCTGTATCATCAGCCCATTATCTGTCTGAGATCTATTCCTCTGTGCAAGTTTGTAATCATTACTGGCAAGAGGATTAGTCTGATACAAGCTACCTGTACAGATACTTGGAATAGGTATTTGGGTTCTAACATCAAACAGTAATATAATAAGACATTACCTTAATGTCTTTAATATGTTTTGGTCTTCAAAATCTTCCAATTTTAAGTGCTTTTTATTTTTTGTTGAGGTATAATTGACATATAATAGTATATTAGTTCCAGGCACATAACATAGTAAGGTGACATTTGTACACACTATGAGCTTTCTACTTTTAAAATGGTATATAGGGGCACCTGGGTGGATCAGTGGGTTAAAGTCTCTGCCTTCGGCTCAGGTCATGATCTCAGGGTCCTGGGATCAAGCCCCACATCGGGCTCTCTGCTCAGTGGGGAGCTTGCTTCCTCCTCTCTCTCTCTGCCTGCCTCTCTGCCTACTTGTGTTCTCTGTATGTCAAATAAATAAATAAAATCTTTTTAAAAATGGTATATATATCCATATTTCTCTGGAACTCAACATGGCCCTGCTAATCAGCCCTCAGGATTTTACATGGATGACCCTAAGGAATCAGAAAGTAACCTAGGACGTCTCTTTATCTAGTGAGAGTCTTACACTACCTATTCTCAATTAAATGCCTTTCACAGCTCCAGAATTCTACCTGTACCCTGTCATCCACCTCCTTATTTTAGTCTGGACACATCCATGTAGCTACTGTCTTGTTACTTTTTAGGACTGGTAGGCAGAGATATGGGTAGACAGAGTACTCAATACAGAGTTCCTGGGATTGTACTCATTTACATACACTCACCCAACCAGATCCATGAGACCCACAGTGACATAAATATGTACACAGGGGCATAGACTTACAAATATGCACATACTGATGAGCACTGTGGGTACACACAAACACACTGAGTGACATACAGTGGAACATACACAGTCATACTGGACCCATGATACCCAAACACAAACCAGAACTGTGGAGAGAACACACACACACACACACACACACACAGGTTTTCAGATTCACCTGCACAAGATATGTACACACCGCCACACACAGATACAAACAAACACACCTAGATCTGTAAGACCCATTGAGACACAAATACATACACAGGTTCGCCTATACACAAGGTGTATACTCGCATATTATCCAGCCCCGTAGCGCAACAGCCACTTACCGCTACCTTCACAGATTCACAACCAGGTCTGTGAGATTCAGGTGCACACAATCCCACAACCACTCAGTTTCCTGCCCTGGGGTTGCTATTGAACGCACTGGGCACAATTTGCTGGTATTAAGTGAGAAACCTGTGGCCAAGCCTACGTTGGGGGTCAAGGTGGGGGTTTGAAAGTTCCCAGTCTGCATCCCCTCTGCCCCATCCCAAACTAGCTCTCAGTAGGAACCTGGTAATGAACTTTCTCCTTGAGTTACTCGCCGGGGTTCAAAGCCTGGCTCCACCTCCTGGCTGTGTGACCTCGGACAAGTGACCCCACCACGCTGTGCCCAATTTTCGCTATCTCTGAAACGAAGGTAATAATAGTTACCAAACCCCACTGCACTGTTGTTCGTGTTCTGCCAGAAAATACACGTCAAGCCCTTTCCAGGCAGGAAATGTGCCTGGCATTGTGGCTGGTGCCCAATAAATATTGGCGTCGTTACTGTGTTAAAGCTAGAGCACTAGGGGGTCAGAGGGGAGCCACAGGCCAGACTCTCCTTCCCAAGTTCCTGAAGGTGTACAGCCACCAGCCTGACAACTTGTCTGGAGCTCTCCCTCCTCTGGGGTCCCAGGTGCACGCCCACCACCTCTACGGTCCCTAAGGCCAGAGGTCTGAGTCTTTTCGCTAAGATGAATGTGGGTAGGAGCCAACCGACTCCACCTGGCGACATGAACGAACTGACAAGATAAATCCCCGTTTCTGAACACCGCTCTCTCGCACCCTCAATGAGACACAAACACCGCCCCACATAAACTCACACATACGAGATACAAGCGCCTTTTGCAGCATTGGGTGCGAAAGAGAGCAGGGCGGAGCCTTGATAACTGTACCGGGAACTACATTTCCCAGAAGGCTCTGCCATGCGTCCGCTTACGTCTGGGCGAAGGGGCGTCTCCGGGACCCCGACCCCTTCTGGAAAATGGAGTCCGCGCCGGCGCGACGCAAAGGCTACCGGAAATTGTAGTTCGCATCCGGTCCGCGCAGACGCACTTTCCCGCGGCGTTCGCCGGGTTTATCCTTTGTGGCAATCGGTCGGCTTTTGTGAGAGGCCGGTCCGCTTGCTCGCGCATCCTTCCGACCGTCCGTCGGTCTGTCCGTTCTCCTCGGGGCCTGTCTGCCGGCCGCCCTGTGCGGCCGCTGGCTCCTGACGGCTGAGTCTGAGGCCGGCCCAGGTCCCGGCCCACAGTGTCCCGGGCGGAGTGTGTGACTGGCTGCGTGGGGCGCGGGCTATGGGGCGTGAGCGCAGCCTGGAGTGTGGGGCGCTTGCTGAGCCTGCCTGACCCCGACCGTGGGGGGGTGGGGCCCGCGCGCGGTGACGGTGCAGCCGGGAGTGCGTGTGCTACCCCCCGAGGCTCCCCTTCAGGCTGTCCCTGAGCCCCAGGAGCAGGACCGGCGCCTCTGGGCCTGGCCTGGGGCCCAGGAGGCTTCAGAGCTGCCCACGCCTCCGGGGAACGCTGCCGAGGGGCGCCATGGAGACCCCTGCCCCGAAGCCCCAGGAGACAGGTACAGTTGGCTCTTCTAGTCACTGGGGCTGTGGACTTGCAGTTGAGGAGACTGACACTCAGAGAGGTCAGGCTGGTTTCCCAAAAGCACCTAGCCGAGTCAGGCCTCCTGCCTCTTCACCGTGCACATCCGCTTGTTTCCACTGCTCCAGCATGCTGAAGAGGAAGGGAATGGCAGTTTTTCCTTCAGATTGTGCCCGATATTGGGGCTCGCTCCCCACCCCACCTGCGGGGGGGCGGTTCCTGACTGCTCTCTGGGGGTGGAATGGGCTTTAGCTCAGGCATGCACCTGGTGGCTATGGGCTATGGCTAACAGCCCCTTTGACTCAATTTCTCCTCCCCAGCTCTGTCCTCTCAGGAGCCTACTCTTACCCTCAGAAAAAATCCAGAGGATAAATTGGGTCAGGGTCTCCCGGAAGCCAGGTCCAAGGTGAGTGGTTGTCTTTTCTTCCTTCTGAACATCTCGTTCTTTATGAAGAGGGTTGGCATTTTACCCCTGCCCGTGATTTTCAGTCATCCAAAGACCCCTTTGCCGCCGCTTCTAATCCGGGGGCCTGCTGTCCCTTCCTCAGGAAGTTCTGGGCATGGGAAGAGCTCCAACTGAAGAGAGTCTGGGTGTGCCCTTGAAGTGAGTGTCCCTTCCAGCTTCCTTCAGCCCAGTGGGTGGGTCATTTGCCCAGCACTATAGCAGGAGCTCTGAGGAGTGGTTTTAATGGAACCCAAGCATGTAGATGACAGCTCACATGAAATCACTTCTGTCATCTCCACATGCAGACCTAGGGGATGGTCCTCATCTGGGGGAGTTTTCTGGGATGGAATCAGGTAGGGGAGTGAAAGTGCTGAAGGAAGGCTGTGTTGCAGCACCAGGGTAAGAGCGATGGTAGGGGGTGCGTCCCTGTGTCCTTTTCCTCTGTGCAGTGACCCTGTAATGGGGCTGTCAAGGAAAAACCTGGAATTTTAGAGGATCTGGGAACCCAGCAAGGGAAGCTGGCCCTGGGACCACTTCCGCAGCTAAGTAGAGCCCAAATCCCTCTTCTCACAGACTTTGGGTTTTGAATCTCATTTGTTTACCACCTAAACCATCCTCATCCCTCACAGTATTTAAAAGGATACAGATGATAAGAGGAGATTGCAGTAATGAAAAAGTTTGGAGGGTTGAGGGTCCTTTGACTCAGGATTTTGTGATTCTGTTTACCGCCCATTGAAAGGGGTCTGATTATAGAAAAATAGAAATAACTATAAAACACATTATGAGATATGGCTGGTTTCTGTAATGTGTCAGAATGCTCTGTTGTTCTAGCATACACTCAGGAGACGTGACAGTCAGATGTGGTACATGATCTTTGACAGGCCATAGATCAAAAAACTCAAAGGCAGTTTGGGACAACTGAGGAAACTTGAAAATGGATTTATCTTAGATCATCACTAAATTTTTTGGGTGTGATGATCCCACTGTAATTGGGTAAAAGAATAAGATAGTCAAGGTGAAGCCCATAGTATGAGATGTCATGATATCTGCAACTTACCTTCAAATGGTTCAGCAAAAAGTGCATGTGCATGTCTGTGCATGTGCTTGTGAGTGACTGCCTCAAGGTATTACCCTTCTTGTGCATAGGTGTTATTCCTAAAAGATCAGCTTCCTAGAACCTTGAGTAACTGGTCCTCCTCTCCTAAGTACTCTTCTCCCCTGGCAGTCCCACTCAGACTCACAGTCAAGTGTTTTGCTTTCCTGGGACATCCCACGCAATCTGTTCTGACTTCCCCACTAGCTTTATTTAATTAATTAATTAATTATTTTTTTTTAAAGATTTTTTTTATTTATTTGACAGAGAGATCACAAGTAGGCAGAGAGGCAGGCAGAGAGAGACAGGAGGAGGAGGCAGGCTCCCCGCTGAGCAGAGAGCCTGATGCGGGACTCCATCCCAGGACCCCGAGATCATGACCTGAGCCGAAGGCAGAGGCTTTAACCACTGAGCCACCCAGGCGCCCCTTAATTATTTATTTTTAAAGATTTTATTTATTTATTCGACAGAGGGAGAGAGATCACAAGTAGGCAGAGAGGGTTGGGGGGAAGCAGGCTCCCTGCTGAGCAGAGAGCCCCATGCGGGGCTCAATCCCAGGACCCTGAGACCATGTGACCTGAGCCAAAGGCAGAGGCTTAACCCACTGAGCCACCCAGGCACCCCTTCCCCACTAGTTTTATTGCCACAGATCTGCATTTGATTCCCATACCTACCTGCCCCCTGGGATTTCTTTCCTGTCCTACAGAATGGAGATGCAAGGGACATGGGCTTCTCCCAGGGGGAATAACCCCCAGACAGGTCAGTGCAAGGCTTAGATCCTACCCTGCCCTTGCCAGTTGACACCCCCACACAGAAGCCATGTAGCCTCTGATAGCCCCCTTTCTCCAGCCACATTCTGACACCTCTGGAGCTTTGTTTCTGCCCATGTTTTTCCTTTCCTCTGCCAGTGCCATGACCATGATGCTTCATTCTTGCCTGCGTCAGTTATGGCATGTTCTCAGCATGTGTCATCACCCCCACCTTCTCATCTCCCTGAAACCCAGTGGGTTTTTTGGATCACATTTATTGAGGTATAATTTGTATACAGTAAAGTTCTCCGATTTTAAGTAGAGGATTTGATGAGTTTTGACAAATGCGTACAGTTGTGTAACCAGCACCACAATCATAACCTAGAATGTTTCCATCACCCAAAAAGTTCCCTCATGCCCCTTTGGAGTCAGCCCTCTCCCCCCACTCTTTGGCAACCACAATTTTGCCTTTTTAAGAATTTCTTATGGAAATATATAGTATGTAGTCTTTGGTTTCTTTTTTTTAAAGATTTTATGTTTAAGTAATCTCTACACCCAATGTGGGGCTCGAACCCACAACCCAGAGATCAAGAGTCACTTGCTCTACTAACTGAACCAGCCAGGTGCCCCACGTAGTGTAATGCTTTTGAGTACATGTCTTTATGTGAATCAGTAGTTTGTTCCTTTTTATTGGTGAGTAGTATACTATTTGTATTAAGTTCACAAAGGCTGCCTTGCCAAAGTCCTATAGATGGCTTAAACAACAGAAATTTATTGTCTGGAAGTTCAATATCAAGATGTCAGCAGGTTTGGTTTCTTCTGAGGCCTCTCTTCTTGGTTTATGAAAGTACCTTCTCCCAGTGTTTTCACATGCATGGACTTTCTCTGTACATGTCTGGCTCCAAATTTCCTTTTTCTTAATAAGGACATCAGTCCTGTTGGTTGATGGCTCATCATAATGACCTCATTTTACCTTAATTATCTCTTTAAAGACCCTATCTCCAAGTATAGTCATTTTTCTGAGGTCCTGTGGGCTAGGGCTTCAGCATATGAATTTGGAGGGGTGACAGCTCAGCACAAAACACCACTGTAAATGGGTATTTACAGTTTGTTCATTAGGGGACATTAGGTTGTTTCTAAGTTTTGGCTATTACAAGTAAACCTGCTATAAATGTTTGAGTACAAGGATAGACATGTGTTTTAATTTCTCTTGAATGAATATCTAAGTGGAATTGCTGAGTCAAATAGTAAATGTATATTTAATTGGCGATTTTATTGATAATTTCCAAGAGCCATCTTTTGGTTTCATTGATTTTCTCTATTGCTTTTCTATTCCTATTTTATTTATTTCAGATCCTTATTATTTCTTTACTTTTTTTGGTTTCTTAAAGTTGAAACTCAGATACTGATCTTAATCTCAGATTTGTCTAAAGACACCTTTCTTCTTTTTTCCTGTAGCATCCAGTGCTATAAATTTTCCTTCTAAGCACTGCCTTCTACATCCCACAAATTTTGTATTGTATTTTCATTTTTATTCAGTTCAAAATAGTTCCAGTTTCTGTTGTGATTTCTTCTTCAACCATGTATGTTTTAGGAATGTGTTGTTTAATTTCCAGATATTTGGAGGATATTTTCTAGGTATCTTTCTATTACAGATTTCTAATTTAATTCTGTTGTAGGTAGAGAAGGAATGTTCTATGATTTGAATTTTTTCAAATCTGCTAAGATTTATTTTATTGCCCAGAATGTGGTTTATTTTTGAATGTTCTGTATGCACTTGAAAAGAATGTACCTTCTGCTTTTGTCAGCTAGAGTGTTCTGCAAATGTCAATTAAGTCAAGTTGAATGATGTGTTAATCAATTGTTCTGTAACCTTACATATTTTCTGCTTATGTGTTGTATCAATTATTGAGAGAAATTACTGTTGAAATTACCAAGTATAATCATGGGTTCGTCTATTTCTCTTCAGTTCTATCAAGTTTTTGCTTTATGTATCTTGAAGCTCTGTTAGTAGGAACATCTACATTTAAGATTGTTGTGAGCTCTTAATGAATTGCTGTTGTGATAATGACTGTGACATAACCATGTAATGATTATTATATAACAGCTTTTTTGTCTCTGATGATGTCCTTTGCTTTGAAATCTGTTTTGTCTAATGTTAATACTGCCACTTCAGCTTTCTTTTGATTAGTATTTGCAGAGTATATCTTTTCCCATTCTCCCACTTCTTATCTACCTTTCTCTTTGTTATAAAAGAGATTTCTGGGATGCCTGGGTGGCTCGGTTGATTGGGAATCTTCCTTTGGCTCGGGTCGTGATCCCAGGATCCTGGGATTGAGTTCCACATTGGGCTCCTTGCTCGACGGGGAGCCTGCTTCTCCCTCTGCCTGCTCCACCTGCTACCCTCCCTGCTCGTACTCTCTTTCTGACAAGTAAATAAGTAAAATCCTAAAATATTAATTTAAAGTAGTTTTCTGTACCTGATGCATGGTCAGGTGTTAATTTTTAAATTCAATTTGACAATCTCTAATTTCCAATTGGAGTATTAAGACCATTCACATTTAATATAATTACTGATATGGCTGGATTTACATCTGCAATTTTGTTATTGATTTTCTATACGTCTTGTGTCTCTTTTGTTCATTTCTCCCTTAATGCATTCTTTTGAGGTAAACAAATACTATTTTTTTTAAAGATTTTATTTATTTATTTGACAGACAGAGATCTGTCAGAGAGGCAGGCAGGGGGGGGGCGGGGAAGCAGGCCTCCCGCTGAGCAGAGAGCCTGATGTGGGGCTCGATCCCAGCACCCTGGGATCACGACCTGAGCCAAAGGCAGAGTCTTTAACCCACTGAGCCACCCAGGCGCCCCCACAAATACTATTTTAGTATACTCTTAATTTCTCTGATTTTATTAACTTGTTTTTTTCCTTTTAGTTACTTTATTAGATGCTGGAGTGAATTTTACTTTGTTGAGTATTGGCTTTTTGGGAGTTTCTTAAATATTTCAGGAATTTGTTCTGGGATGCAGTGAAATTACTTAGTATCAGATGGATCCTTTCAAGGCTTGCTCTTTAGGTTTTGTTCAGGTAGGGCCAGAGGGGCCACCTGAGTGGCTCA